GAGGCTATATAGGCCAACTCTTTCATTTTACAGATAAGGAAACTGAGGACTAGAGAAACAATGTCAAAGGTGAGATTTGAACCCAGGTCCTCTGATCTCTGAGCCAATGTTCCTCCCATCATGCCATGGTGTCTTCCATGGTCTAGTATTCAAAATCTTTTGGGTTTAGACATAATAACCATAACAATAAGCTATAGTGCCTACTCCGTGTCCAGCACTACACTAAGTGCTTTACCAATATTGTCTCATTTGAGCCTCACAACAACCCTGTGAAAGAAATGCTATTATGTTCCCCATTTGACAGTTGAGGCAAATAAGGTAAAGTGACTTGCCCAGGGTCACACAGCTAGCAAGTGGCTGAGGCTGGATTTGAACTCAGGTCTTCTGACACCAGTGCTCTCTCCGCCAAGTCACCCAGCTGCTACCAGCTATGACTCCACCTAACTGTATTAAAATCTGAAGCTCATTTCCCAAAGCTTTTATAAAGACTTTTGAACATGCCTTGTTGACATTCAGATATATCGTGTCTTCAGCATTTCCCTGACCTAAAGAAATGAGATTCCTTTGGCATCGCTTTTCCTGGGCTATGAGTGATTACTGTTTCCTCTTTCTCCATGCTCACAAATAGATACTAATGGAGGGAAATAGTGGAATGAATTAACTAAAGTGCCTCTGGCATTAACACCTCATTTTACATATAAGGAAACTGAGTTAAGGGAGGTCAAGTGATTTGCCCAAAGTCATGCAGATAATAAGTATCAGAGGTAGATTTGAATCTAGGTACTCAGACTTTAGCTGTTCAGTCATCTTGATGTGTCTGACTCTTCGTGACCCCGTTTGGGGTTTTCTTTGCAAAGATACTAGAATGGTTTGCCATTTCTTTCTCCACCTTATTTTACAGATGAAGAAATTGAGGCGACAACAGTGTTAAGTGACTTGCCCAGGGTCATACAGCTAGTAAGTGTCTGAAGCCAGATTTGAACTCAGGAAGATGAGTCTTCTGGATTCCAGGCACAATGCTCTGTGCGCTATGGTGCCACCTAGCTGCCCTAGAACCTAGAGTCAGTACCATTTCCATCCTCTCTCATTGTCCTTAGGGAATAAATGGGAAAAATAACCTGTTGAGTAGCAGCAATAAGCCAGCCTGGGATGAAATTATGCCATGAGCGGAATTCACCAAGTGTGTAATTCACATAATTGAAAATTGGCTCTCTCTGTAGAGTGTATCTACACCATCTCTGGTTGTATCTGCATCGTGCATGGCCCAGTGCAGGGAGTCTAGCAAGCCCTTGTTGTTACAAGGCACGGAAATGAAGTCCTTTTCCGACCTCTATTGGTACTTCTCCCTCTGGCTCCTGAAGTCCTTGGGGAAGGGCCAGCTCTGCTGCTTAGAGCTAGGGGATCCAGAATGAGCTGCATCTTGGGGGATACTCCTGTCACCCCAGTCTCCTCGCCATGAAGGTAGTGGGATGACAATTGCCAAGCTCATAGAGGCACTTAGGTGGGGAAGTGGATAGAGTGGTAGGCCTGGAGTTGGGAAGGTCTGAGCTTAAATCTGGCCTAGACATTTACTAGTTGTATGACCCTGGGCAAGTCACAGGCTACTAAACTGCTTGCCTCAGTTTCCTCAACTGTAAAATGGAGATAATGACGGCATGAGGATCAAAAAAGAGAATAATCATAATATACATAGCACAGTGCCTGGTAAACAGCAGGTGCTTAATAAATGCTTGTTTCTTTCCCTACCTTGAATTACATGTAACTGTGTATGTATGTGTGTGCATTTTAGAGAGGCATTATGGAGTTATAAAGGAAGGGGAAATCCCTATCCCAATGAGAGATTACAGAAGGCCCAGGCAGTTTCACTGAATCAACCAATCACCAATGTAAGCTAGGTATGAAGAAGCCCTTAATTTAAGAGGAATAAAGTGTTTTGAGGGCAGCTAGGTGGGAGCAGTTGATAGAGTCCCAGACCCAGGAGTCAGGAAGGTCTGAGTTCAAATCCCACCTCGTACACTAGCTGTGTAACCCTGGTTGAGTCATTTAATCGTGTTTGCCTCAGTTTCCTCATCTGTAAAATGAGCTGGAGAAGGAAATGGCAAACCACTCCAGTGTGTTTGTCAAGAAAACCCCAAATGGGGTCATGGGGAATCAGATGCAACTGCTAAACAACAGAAAGTGCTTTGATCATTGAATGAATACAGATGATGCTGCACACACACACACACACACACACACACACACACACACACATCCTGTTATATAAAACAGGGAAAAAGGTGGATTCGGAATCAGAAGGATATAGGTTCCAACCACAACTCTGCCATGTACTATCTGTGTAACTTCAGGCAAAGTATTTATTCTTTCTGGGCCTCAGCTTCCCCATCTGTAAAATGAGGTCAGACCAGTGTCCTTTCTACTTCTAAATCTGCGTGCCTGCCAGTAACTGTGAAGACAAATTCCAGCGCCCATGTTGGGTAGCAAAGGACCCAGCAGTAATTTGTTTATCACGAGGGAGGGGCAGCATTCTGAAATATCTAGCACTGCCAGAAACCAGCCTATCATAGTCAGGGATCTACTGGAAGCAGAAGAATGAATTCCTTGACCACCGAGTCAGCAGACTGATGAGACTGGGGTCCTCTCTGCCTGTTTCCTCTCCCCTTGTCTACCTCTGGGTCATGCCTGTCACTCAGGGGCCATGACTGTGCACTTAGAAAGGTCGATGACCCAGCAGAAAGGGCCTGGCCTGGTCTTTGCTGAGAGGCACAGCGTCCCTTTGCCTTTGTCTGTTGGCTTCCTGACCTTCTGGCAGAGTCAGAGTGTAATGGTCTCTCCCATGAGGCTGTGTCATTTCTAAACTGGAAATTTCTCCGCCCGAGGGACAAATTTGCAACCAGGAATCCCTAACTATCAGCTTATTAAACAAACACCACCAGAGTTCTCGGCTTATCAAATTCTTTTCTCAGACTTTCCTCCTCTCAAAGTGTGCAAATAGGAAAGAATGTTGATTTGATTCATTTTGCTATTTGCCAGCTGAAATTGTGAGTCGTCATGGGAGAGTGCTTGTGGAGTTATTTGCAAGGCTGGTAATAATAGCAATAGCTGGGATTCATACAGCTCTTTAAAGTTTGCAAAACACTTTACATATGTCATTCAGTGCTCACAACAGCTTTGTGAGGTAGGTATTATTAGGAGTAGTATTGTTCCCATTTTACTGGTAAAGAAACTGAGGTAGAAACCAAATGACTTGCCCAGGGTCACACAGGTCACACAGAGGCATCATTTGAACCCAGGTCTTCTTGACTCCAGGCCCAGCACTGTATTCATTGCATCACCTAGCTTTTTTTTTTTTTTTGGTTCATAAATATTTCCAAGTTTTACCTGGAGGGCATTTCCCAACTTTTTAACTGTCCATAATCCCTCACAAAAGGGGACATGTATCCATAAGGTGAAGAGCTCCAGTTGCCCTAGGGCTGAAGTCCCCTCCAACTCTTTCAATCTTGTGTTTCTGTGAAAGAATAACCAACAAAACTGAGGGGTTACCTCTTTCCTTCCATTTCCAGATTCCAGTAAGACCACACTTTGTTTTTTTTGTTTTTTTTTTGTTTGGGTTAGGCAATGGGGTTAAGTGACTTGCCCAGGGTCACACAGCTAGTAAGTGTTATGTGTCTGAGGTCAGATTTGAACTCAGGTCCTCCTGACTCCAGGTACTGCATCACCTAACTGCCCGCAAGATCACACTTTGAACCAGTACAGGCAGGAGAGGTCATATCCTATTTTGAAAGATGGAGAAGCACGTTCCATAATTTCCCTCAGTAACTGTTTTGATGTGTAATGACTCTACCCATTGGGAAATACTTCCTTCTATCTAACCTGAGTACCTCATGCTGCAGCGTGAGCCTCTTACCCCTTGTTTGGTTCTCAGCTAAGATTTTCAATGGACGGGTCAGAATTCTCCAAATCTAAACGAAATATTCCACAAGGGTGGAAGGGAACAGTGTAGTAGATTTCTGTTGTTTTATTCTATCGTGTCTGGCTGAACTGTGGCTCCATTTGGGGTTTTCTTGGCAAAGATACTGGAGCAGTTTGCCATTTCCTTCTTCAATTCATTTTACAGATGAGGAAAGTAAAGCAAACAGGGCTAAGTAACTTGCCCAAGGTCACACAGCTAGGAAGTGTCTGAAGCCAGATTTGAACTCAGGAAGAGGAGTCTTCCTGACTCCAGATCCAGCGCTCTATCTACTGTGCCCCTAGTTGCCCTATTGTGCATAATCCAGCCCAATCCAAATCTCTTCCATTTGGCTTTGGTAGCATTAACTGTTGGAGCTGGAATGGGTCTTAGAAGTCACATCTTGTCCAATTCTCTCAGCTGCCCAGAATGATTATAGAGCTAGGAGAACCCTCACTCTTCCAGAAGGGAAAACTCAGGCCCAAGAGAATACGAATTCCTTAAGGACAAGGATTGTTACATTTTGTGTCTGGATACCCTGCACCTACCAAGTATTTAATAAGTGTTTCCTGAATGAAGTAATTTGTCTAATATCCCCCAGGGAGTAAGGAACAGGATCAGGATTTGAACTCTTGTCTTCTGACTCCAAATCTAGCATTCCTTGCACTGAACCAGGCTCCCTGGGGCCCCAAGCTAATAGATTCAACATCCTCCCTAGTACTAGGAGACCTTGGTCTAGGACTTGGCTCTCCATCCCCCATCCAATCATCTTTCTAATACATGAAGATTCATCTTGAAGTTACCTTCATGATCATGGTGGGATTTTTTTTAAGGTTAATATAAATTTACCAATTTTACCTGGAAGGCATCTCCCAACTTTTCAACTGGGCTACTATCCCACCTAGGGCAGCTAGGTGGCCCCATCACGCACAGAACCTTGGACCTGGAGTCAGGAAGACTCATCTTCATTAGTTCAAATCTGGCCTTAGACACTTACTAGCTGTATGATCCTGGGCAAGTCACTTAACTCTGTTTGCTTCCTTTTCCTCACCTGTAAAAATGAGCTGGAGAAGGAAATGACAAACCACTCTAGCATCTTCAACCCCAAATGGGGTCATGAAGAGTTGGACATGGCTGAAATGACTGATCAGCACCACTCTTCCTCCATTAAGACAGGAACCTGTGACACTGCCTGAGAGAGTCTGCAAGAGACTAGGAAGAAAGCATCCTTGTAATAGGGGACACACAACAGAGTTGGGTTTTTTAAAGTAATAATGATTTTATACATGATTACTACTGCTATACAGAAGCTTAATCTTTGGGAAAGACGGAGCAGCTGCTGTTTTCCCTCTCTAATGAAGTCTGAACCAGAGGTAGAGATTAAGCTATACCGGGAGGGATCTAGTATCGATACGAGGAAGAACTTTCTGGCTGGGGTAGTAGCCATGCAATACTGAGACAGACTGCCCTGGGGAGGTTGTACAAAGTCCTCCCTTGAGGTCTTTAAAAGCAGGGTAGATCACCATTTGTTTGCTTGAGTTATGGTCTCCCTTCAAAGCAGGGAGATAGCCTAGAATCTTTTGACTGAATCCAAACTTCACAGAACAGATCCCTTTAATAAAAGGATTTGTTCTGTGAAGTTTGGATTCATTCAAAGGGCCACACTTGAGGACCTAGAGGGCCACATGTGACCTTGAGCCCACAGGACTAGATGATTTGCCAAGGTCCCTTCCAATCCCTGATTTCAATGATTGCATAAAGAAACATGGCGTAGTTTTGGGATGTGAATTGAAGATTTAGGATGGGGGCTGGGGGTGGGGAGACCAGGCTCTAGGAAGAGCCTCCTTTTTGCCTTCATGACAACCACCACCACAACCACAAAAACAACAGTGCTGTGTGTATGTTGGACAGGACAGGAGGCAGGTATCTGCTGATGAGCTAATGTCACACACAATGTTCAGTGAACTTTTCTGTAGTTCACCAGCAAAGATGGGGCTGAGGGGTTAATGCATAAGGAAGACAAGGATGAAAAATGTTAAGAGATGCTGACACCTAGTGGAGATGTATTGCTTCTTCATTTCAAAACAAATATTTTTTAAATGTTGAATATGGATAAGACCATTGTGCAGGGTAATAGGAATAGAAAGATGAAAAAATCACACAGTCCCTACCTTCAAGGGGTTTACAGTTTACTGGGATGATGCACCATGTGTAAGTCTACAACAAGCTAAGATGTGGTGAAAGGTAAGATCTAGGCAAAATGTTCTAGGAAAATTTAAGATGGAGAGATTTTCAGCACAAGGATAAAGGATGGCATTCCAGAGGAAGTAACCCCCAGACTTCTTGTAAGAAGATAAGGATTCTGTAAGGAAGTGGTGAGACACTCATAAAGTTAAGAGGTTCAGGCCTACAGGACATTGGATGGTTCCCATCAAAATAACAATAATAACAATAAATAGTCAGCATTTGTGTAGGTTGTTAAGGTTTGCAAGATGCTTTACAAATATCTCATTTAATATTTGGAGGGCATACTCTATACCAGGGGTGGGGAACCTGCAGCCTCAAGGCCACGTGCAGCCCTCTAGGTCCTCAGGGCAGCCCTTTGACTGAATCCAAACTTCACAGGGCAAATCCCCTTAATAGCAGGATTTGTTCTGTAAAACTTGGACCCTGTCAAAAGGCTGCACCCAAGGATATAGAGGGCTGCATGTGGCCTCGAGGCCCTAGGTTCCCACCCTGTCTATACCGTATTCAGAAGATATATTCAATCATGGACAAGTGTCACACAGAACAAGAAGGTAGGGCTGTGAAATTGAAGATTCAGTGAAATGTCACCATCTCACATCACTTCTGGCTCCCAAGCCAATGTGGGTGGTGTGTTGTAGCCTACATAAGACCACCATTTGTCTTCCCATCACCTTTTGGGCCACCTGTGATTTTGGTTGCTCAGCAATTATTCTCTGTTCTGTGATGCACGTAGTGTCATATACTATCAATAGGGATGATGATCATCAGGCGATGAAAAGATGAGTTTTTGGTGGCAGCTTGGGGTTGCTGAGAGTGTTACGTGGTTTCCCAAGTACAAGTGAGCCTGCTCTCTTCCTCCTGTTCAGTTCTGGTTTTGTTTATCTTTAGGGTTTTTTTTAAATTTATTTCTGTCCAAAATCCACTCAGTGGTGTTCTAGCTCCATGAACTGCCCATCTGGATGCATAGCATATCATAACAGTCTAGAGGACTGAACGAAGAGTGGGTAGAAAATAGGAATTTTTCATTCATTTGGTTTCTTGTGTAAATTATTATACTGATTGCTATCGAGGGTTCATAGAACTCATTGAGGATGCAGCATCATAGGACTTGATGCAACCATCACATTGTCATCCACAAGCCAGAGAGGATGTGGAAGACCTTATCATCTACTGGGCATCTCTATTCCATTTAGACTGCACAAGAACAGTGAATACCTTTGGTGAGTGTGTGTATATACATATATGTGTATATATGTATGCAAGCATGTATGCATATGTATGTGTATGTATATATGTGTGTTTTATACCTTCCTTGATAGAAAAGTATAATCCTCTGATTATCACTGAATGAAGTTATCTCTGGGATCACGTCAATCAAGGAATTCTGTATGATCTTGACAAATGCATGGGATACATATTATTAGAGGAAAACCTGAAAGCCTGTACATTGCTCCATCAAATAAAATGCCTTCCTTAAACCATAAATGTAGTGGGATCGCATACTTTTCTATGCCTTTCTTTCAATTGTGTGACTAAAAATGTTGTTTCTTGCAAAAGAAAATTTGTGAAAACCTAAATTTCTCCCTACTCACCTTTTCAGCAATACATGTTCTCTTCTCCAAAGGATTTTATGGTGATGGTTAAGTAGGCTTATGGCTCGGTGGTTATTTATGGCGTCTGGATTTCCCTTTCTGGATTTCAGCCATTTGGTGTCCTCTCCCCTTTGAGATATCTTGAAAACTGATCCCTCGGTGGTTTCAAAATTGTATCACCCTCAGCATAGATTTCTTCCAGGTGTATTTGATCTTCTCCAGCTATTCTTCCTGACTTCATTTTATTAAATGGCATTTCCACTTCCTTGTATATGTAACCTGGGCTATTGCTTACCCCATTATCTCTTTGAGTTATTACCCCTGAGCTTAGGGTGAAATGATGAGAAAGAGATAGAGATGGAGGAAGATACATAGAGAGATACAGATAGAGACAAAGACACCGAAAGTGACATGGATGCAGAGAAAGAGAGAGAGGTAGAGATAGAGACAGACTAGTAGAGCAACTTCTCATGATCTTGGCAACTGAGAGAATAATTGTCCCTCCCCTCCTCAAATAGAGGAATGAATCTACTTTGTAATAGAGAAGAAGCCACATGGTAGGATAAATAAGGACGTGATATGAATCTGGTATCATCCATCCTGGGTGGGCTTCTTCTCTTCTTTACAGCCCTTGGAGTTGTACTTACTCCCTGGTTGTCATGAAAGTGATGGGAGCAAGCTACTGGTGACCAGGGCTGCATGGAAAGAACTCTGAGATCAAGAAAAGTGTTGCTGTGAAACCAGGGCACCTAGACAATGAAATCACCATCTATTTTGAATTGTGCTAGATTGGTGAGCTGGGGGAAACTGACTTTCCTCACTGTCTTCCTTTCTTTCCTTTGTTTCTAGTCTATGATCCTGTGATGAGGCACAGACAATTCCTTCCTTTATTTTCTCATGAGCACAAGCATGAGAAAAAGGAATATTCTTTTCTATATTAGAATGTGGTTAGGAGGCCTTCTCCCAACATACTCCTGAGAATCTAGAAGGGTAACCCAGGATTGGAAAGGAAATGGGTCTGATCTATTTTCTTTCCATTTTATCGTCTATATAATAAAATATGTGATCACAATCCATGAGTCAACTAACATTTATTAAGTGCCTACTATGTGCCAGGCACTGTGCTAAGTGCCAGGGTTATAATGAAAACCAAAAGACAACTGCCTGGCATATAGTGAGAACTTAATAAATGCTTATTGACTGACTGACCGCTGAGTTTTAGGAAGATCAAATTGACAGCTGAGTGGAGGATTGATTGGAGTGGGAGAAATTTTAGGTAGCATGTTAAGTAGACTTGATCACAGCATGTTAAGTAGATCAGTCCTATGAATTCAGGAAGTTTGGAATATAAAAAGGGGAGCTCTGTCTGGGCTTGGGTCTCATGAGCTAAATATAGACAGTAGATATCATATTTTAATATATTAAGCAATATTCCATCTCATCATTTAGATTGACTTTAGATCTGGTTTGTGGTGAGCCTATGGATTCGTCAGGCTGAGTGTCATTTATAGCAGCTAGGAGCAGCTTCTTGGGAAAGTTATCCTACACATAACCAGAGAGATAGTGACAAGGCCACTGGGCTGGTGAATCTGTAATAGAGTCACCTGGTGGACAACTTAGGTATTGTGCTCCTCACTGGATAATAGATATTGTCTTTCTGTAGGTAGAAATAAAGTAGCATTGATGTCTTACAGTCTAAAAGCCTCCAGCTGAAAATCAGGGAACCTCAAAACTAGTAAATTGGACACTAAGGTGTTAGAGTCCAAAAGTTATGGTCTGAATAGATCACTATAGAAATATGCACAAATGTGTCACATTTTCCTATTTGTCATCTTTCTTCTAGTTTCTTTTATAGGTGCCCTGGGAATGTTCAGTCTCACCTGGCTTCCTGCAAACTCTCATTTTTCTTCACTTCTCTTTGTTGTTTGGTGAGGGAGTGCTGCTTATAAATTTGTACCATTCACCCCTATACTGTTTTACACATGGTCTGTATTCTAAAGCAATACTTCTTTGCCAAGGGTCCATGAACTTGGTTTTTTTTTGGGGGGCAGGGAAAGAGTATGGAGCTATTCAGGGAAGACTTGTACCTCTGGCATGAGAGCTTCTGAGCCCTTTTCAGGGCTACTTTCCATCTTTGGTGTCTACTTGATTCACCCAACTCTCCTCCATGGCTCCAGGAAGCTGTAGCATCCATAGTAGCCAGACCCTGGCAAACTGTTTGGCAGATGGGCTAAATCAGCTTGAGGATAACCAAGGGGTCTCAAAACCATTGGTGAATTAGGGGGTATCTTCTCCAAGCATGTGAAGACTTACCCTGCTGAAATGGGCAGATGAGGACAATTTGTTCCAACGTCCAAGAAAGCAGCTAAAGCAGGAGCTATGGAGCCCTCAGAGCTTGGTCGGACATCAAAGACCCCAAGGTAATCCACTGCATCCCAGGTGATCACCAGTTCTCTTGAATTTTGTCTTACTGTTGGACTCTGATGACTCTGGAAGAGAGGGTGAGGCCAATGACTTCGAGCAACTCTGCCTCACTTAAATTCAGTTTATCCTCATGTCAAAGGGCACCATCTATATGGAAGATCATGGCAAAGTTTGGTTGCCTGGAGAAGTTCATCAATATTATATGCCTGTTCCATGATGGTATGCCTGCATGGATTCTGAATAATGGATGGTGCTGTCAAGCTTTCCTAGTCACCAATGGAGAGAAGCAGGTCTGTGTGCTTGCTCCCATGCTTTATAGTATGATGTTTTCAGCAATGTTTTCAGATGCCTTTAATGAGAATGAAAATGGTATCAAGGTCAGCTATGCACTGATGGCAAATTAGTTAACTTGAAAAGGCTACACAAGCCAAGACTAAAGTGGAGGGAGAATTGGTGCACAACTGTTTTTGTTCTCAGATGATTGTGCATGCAGTGAAGGCTCTGAGGCTGAGATGTAACAGAGTATGGATCAATTCTCTACCACTTGACCTGACAATTAACATTAAGAAAACAGAGGTTCTCTAGCAGCCAGCACTGAACCATCCATATGTGGAACCATTGGTTACATCAAATGGAGAGATTTTGAATGCTATGGATAAGTTCACTTACCTTGGCAGTACACTTTCCAGGGATGTACACATAAATGATGAGGTTAATGCATGCATTGCCAGAGCTATCTCAGTGTTTGAGAGACTCTGAAGGAAAGTGTGGGAGAGGAGGTACTAGGCTGCCCACCAAGCTGAAAGTCTACGAAGACATTGTGCTGACCTCATTGTTGTATGCCTGGGAAACCTGAACAGTATACCAGTGCCATGCCAGGAAATTGAATTGCTTCCATGCGAATTATCTTGGGAAGATCACCTAGCAAGATAAGGTGCCACATACTGAGGTACTTTCTCGAGCTGAACTACCAAGGATCCAAGCTCTACTGCAGAGAGCGTAACTCTGATGGGCCGGCCACATTGTTCAAATGCCAAATGTATATTTGCCTAAAAGATTATTTTACAGAGAATTCACACAAGGGAAACACTCACATGGAGGTCAGAAGAGGCAATACAAGGACATTCTCAAGGTCTCTCTGAAGAATGTTAGCGTTATTTGTAAGACCTGAGACATTGGCACAGGACCGCCCAGAATCAAAGAAGGTTCTACACTCTGTGAGCAAAGCAAAGTTGCAGTAGCTCAAAAGAAACATGAGGTGTGCAAATTTAGAAACATCACCACTCCAAACATTCATACGGACTATTTGTGCCCAATCTGTGGTAGAAACTTCTGAGCTTGTATTAGGCTGATCAGCTACAGTGGGACATGCTGTACCTTGACCCTGACATAGCAATATCATTTTTATCCTCTTTGAGCATGAAGGACAACAACCAGATGAACTTGTTTTTCAAAAGTGTTTTGATAGCTACATTTCAATATAATTGGTTTCTGTTGTAATTTGATATATTTTATTTTTTGCATTTCAAAACATTATTCTCAGAAGGGGTCCATAGGCTTCATCAGAGGGAACCATATCAGAAAAGAAGCAGTTAAGAGACCCTATTCTGAAGCATTATTGCTTGCAGCTCCTTGCACTTAGCAAGGAAATCCAGTTTTTATTGGTTGAGGTTGTTTCTGGGCTCTTTGGTTCTCTTTGTTGTGATAATTACTTACATCAGTTAAACTTCAATAAGAAATGTTGGCCCACTACTGGGGCAGACTGAGGATAGGGGATTACATGAGCCCGGGATTACTGAGCTACAGTAGGGCTAAAGCATATCAGGTATCCACATGAAGTCCAGCACCAGGACGGTGATTCCTCAGGAGCAGGGAGACCAAGAGGCCGCCTAAGGAAGGGCAAACGGCCCAGGTTGGAAACCAGAGCGGGTCATACCTTCAGGACTAATCATTGGCATGATAAGGGCTCTGAAGTTGCCACTACACTTTCTTTCTTTCTTTCTTTCTTTCCTTTTCTTTCTTTCTTTCTTCTTTCTTTCCTTCTTTCTTTCTTTCTTTCTTTCTTTCTTTCTTTCTTTCTTTCTTTCTTAGGCAAGGGTTAAGTGACTTGCCCAGGGTTACAAAGCTGGTAAGTGACAAGTGTCTGGTCTGAGATTGGGTTTGAACTCAGCTCCTCCTGACTCCAGGGCCGGTGCTCTATTCACTGCACCATCTAGCTGCCCCACCACTACACTTCTTGTCTGGGAAAAAGAAGGTGACTCAATTTCAAAAAGGGAAGAGAAGGAGAAGAGAGAGGAGGACAGGGGAAGGGAGAAGAGGGAAGAAATAGTGATAATCAAAGTTAATACTTTTTATCTTTTCCCCATTTTTTTAGTGTCAAAGTCTTATTTGCATGTGTCATTCCAGAGTTGTGGGAATATCATCATTTTCTCATATTTACCTGTTCTTATAATTTTGTGTTGATTTTGATCATTCTAACTCAGTCATTAATCCTCTCCTCACTGTAAGTTTCATTTTTGCCATGTTGTTTGACAATATCCAGTTCCCTCCAACTCTTTTTTTTTTTTGCTTTTTAATGAGGCAGTCGGGGTCAAGTGACTTGTCCAGTGTCACACAGTTAGTAAGTGTCATGTGTCCGAGGCCAAATTTGAACTCAGGTCCTTCTGACTCCAAGGCCGGAGCACTATCTACTGTGCCACTTAACTGCCCCCAACTCTTTTCTTGAAGAAAGTATCAATGGTGTACAGACTTCTGCCTTCTAAGTCATCCACCAGCATTTTACTCTTTCATTTTTTAATATTGAATGGTATTTTCCAGTGTACTCCTTCACCATCCTCCCCTCTGTCTGCTTCAAGTAACTGAGCATTAAGGTATTACTTGATTGGAATCTCTTGTCAATTATCTCAGATCCCAAACTGAATAGTTTATAAAATAATGCTTGCGGGAC